GGGGGATACTCTCCAGCCATGGAGGGTGGGCCTCCTACCCTCTACCCAGATGAGGATTGAGCTGTAGGAGTGGGAAGGAGGAGGGGAGCTAACAGTTCTATCTCCTCCCCCAGGGTGGCCCTGGGAGGCCACTCAAGCTGTGCGGGCACCAGACACAGAGTACGACGAGAATGGTGCCCCTGGATTTCTGCAAAATGGCCGACTCCCTCGACCCCCCGCCCCACTGGCCTGTGGGCACATGTACATATGTGTGTGTATGTGTCTGCGTGCGCGCACAAACACACACACACACACACACACACACACACACACACACACACACACTGCCCTGAGCCCCTCGGCACCAGCAGTGAGAATCAAAACCTCTGCCAAGAGGGAACAGGAAAAGCAACCTGGACCACCGCCCTCAGACTCCTGCCCACACGCCTGGTCCCCAGCATTTCCTCCAGCCTTGGCTCCAGCCTCCCTTCCCCCACTCTCCTCCCCCCCGCAAAGCAATGTGCCAGTCTAGCTGGGGCAGCTGTGGAGCCTCAGTAAGGGATCGCTCCCAGGGGGCCGGACATTTAAGGAACCCGTGACTCCTGGTGGCTCCACTGTTGGGGCAAAAGAAGAAGGAGACCGGCCTGCCGATAGCCCGGGCATAGCTGCACCCCAAAGCCGTGGACACAGCATTAAAGGGTTAGGAGGAACTGGTCGCACAAAGGTAAGGCTCCCCTCTTTCCTTAAGAAGGGGGCAGAGCCTGCTACCTTCAGAGCCCAGAGCAGGACGGCCAGAGTAACCCAACTAACGTGAGTATGCTCCTGGGTGAGTCACAGGTAGAAACTACACCAGGTGAGTTGTCGCACGAAGGAAATTTAATTTGCAGCAAATAAGGAGATCATGGGGAGTAACTTCCAAAGCTGTGACTCCCCGAGCAAGGGCGAGTGGGTTGCTTTTACTGAGGGCTAGGATGAATATTTAGATAGGGGAGCCTTGTCGTCCTGTGTCGGGGCGGGCGTAAGGTCCTTACGGAAACATGCTCATACGTACATTGTATGTCATGTAAAGCAGGCTCGTGCTCCGTCTTGGGTGGAGATTTTAGTGTTCTATTGAGGTAAAGGTAACCGTCGGTCACTCCGCGGTCCATCTGCGCAGGCGTGAGTCGGGGGGCGGGGGAGGGGGGCGGTGAGCTCAGACGGGTCTGGGCCGCCTGAGCTGACAGAGCCCCCGTCCAGGCAATGGTTACTGCTTGAGGGGTAGTTTCGGTTTCTATCACGGGATGTTAGGCCCCTCGGGTCTTTTGCCTGAGTGAAGAGATAAGCTGGAAAGAAGAGCTTAAGGAAAAATGTGGGAAAGAGTTTGGGTACAAGCAGGTGAGGAGTAAAGATCAGCTCTTGGGGTCTAGCTGGTGACAGTTTCAGAGCTCAGAGGTGGAAGCAGGCCAGGCAGAGATCTGTCATAGCGGGGAGGTGAAGCTTAGCCTCGAACTGGCTTAGAGCCAGGCTTTTGGGTCCCTAGGGAGGGCAGTGGACTGGGAGTCAAGAGGCCAGGATTCTAGTCTGAGTGACCTCGAACAGGTGATTTCTCTCAGACATCGGTTTCTTTCATATGGAAAAACTGCCATGCTGGTTAAATAAAAATGCAACATCCATCCGTTGAAACACTGTGTAGCTGTTAGCAAGAATGAGGACAGTCTTTATGAACGGGTTTGGAGAGATCTCCAAGATGTATTAAATGAAAAAGAAAGGGCTGAAGAGTGTATATAGGAGGGCTCCCTGAAGTGCAAAAAAGGGATGAGGGTAAAAACATACTCGTATTTGCATGAAGGCGCTCCAGAAGGAGCTGAGAGACTATAGTGGTTACATGTTGGGGGAGGATTAGGAGTTGGGGGTTCAGGAGTGGGAGGGAGCCTCTTCATATAGATGTTTATATTGTTTTATTAACTATGAGATTGAATTACCGATTTTTTTAAAGAAGTATAGGACATGAAAACTCAACCTCTGTCTTTACCCAGTCACAAATGAAAGCAGAGCTGTAGACACATGCCATCCTCTGTCTTAGCATTCCACCAATGCCAGGGGTCCCCAGGGCTCAGGAGGAAAATCCCCGGCTTCCTTTTAAGGCCCACTGAAGTATGGCTTAGTCAGGAAGTTCCTTCTTAGGTCTGACTTCATTCCCTCCTGCTGAAATATCCAGCACCACCTCCCTTGTTCCATGTAGCTATCAATATGTATCCTCAGCTCCCCCTGGGCCTAACTTGGTTCCCTGGGTAAATCTAAGCCCTACATTCTCTCCCCCTGAGACTTGGAATGGGTTGGGATTACTTGGTGGGGATGACAGGCCCATGGGTCCTTGTAACCATCCTGGGAAGGTGAGACACGAAGGGAAGAAAAGAAAGGCCAGAAAGAAGAGGCTTGCTGTCCTACTTCCCCTCACCCTCCCCTGTGCACAGTCATCTCCCCTTGTGTCCACCTGCCCTGTCCCTTCACACACACACACACACACACACGCACGTGAGCAGAATAACCTCTCTGAATCTCTCTCCTATTCCCTTCCTTGTCCTTCATGGCCTCATCCTCTCCCTGGTCCTCCCAGGTGAGTGCCCACGCCTGCTGTCACCATGACAACTATTCACCACCAGCAGATGCTGCAGGAGCACGTGTCCATGGAGTTCTCCAGCTCCACCACCCACATGCAGACCTTCTCCCAGACAACCAAGATTGTGGGAGGCAAGTAGAGTGGGTGGGAGGGCTGATCGGGAAAGGGCAGCCTTTCTTCTTCCACATCCACTCCCTGGGTGGCCTCAGGCTTTGTGAGTGCCGGGACCCCTCAGGAGCCCGAGATGCAAAGAGCAACCCTCTCCTAATCTGTGCTTTGAGAAAGCTTCAGCCAGTGGGATGTTTACCCACAGATCAGATCTTCTGGAAAACAGCTTAGGAAAAGTCAACCCCGTGAATGTGTATGAGTGACTGATGAGCTTAATTGCTTGAGGAAACAGGGTCACAGGCAGATGGATGTATCTCTGATGGCAGAATTGCAGGCACAGAGGAAGTTAGGGATGTAGCTACCGTCCTAGATCTGAGTAATGCTGACCCTGCTCCACTTCAGAAATAGGAGATTTGGAGCCATCAGTGGAGAGAGGATGAACACATAAACAAGTGACCTAAGCTTCCAGGCTCTCAATCCTTGGGGACCAAACTTGGGGGACAGCAGATCCAAGGGAAAGCTGAGAAATGGTCTCAGAGCAGAACAGATTGTTTTAGTCATGTCTCTAGTGGAAAGTGATTAAAAGATGGCCAGGGGCCAGGATATCCAATATCTCCTCCCAGTCACTGCCCCTCCCTCAAAGTCCTGGAGGGATCGAGTCCTTCCAACTCCTCTGTGCACGGAGGTCAGGGCCAGATGAAAGCTCTATACCAACTCCTGCTGGTCAGTTGAGGCAACGCAAGGAGAACGGCTGGGACGCGAGACCAGAAGTTGCAAACTTCAGTGATTATAGCAGTGCCTCTCAGCCCTGGCTGCACATTGGAATTATCTTAGTGTAGCAGGCAGAGAGGAAGGGGAATGAAAAAGGAGCAATACAGAAGTCTGACTCAACTGCTAAATCAGGTGTGTTTTTGTTTGTTTGTTTTTCAAGCTCTCCAGAGAGTCTAGCATGCAGCTAGAGTTTAAAACCACTGGCCAACAGGGTCCAGGCAGGGAATGTAAATGCCAGAAGAAAGACAGAGGAGAATGGCAGAGGACATGCCCGACCTAGAGGGGCCCCCTCTAGTCACCGCCCATTGACCGTTGCCATACGGGAGTATGAGCTCAGGGCTGAGAATCCAGAAATCTGAATGTTTATGTGAAATCTCTCAATTTTTAGATCTAGGGCTCCTTTTTGTTTAACCATTGACGAGGTCAAATACCACACATCTGCAGGTCAGGTTCAGCCAGCACACTCTAAACGCAGAGTTTCTTAAGACATTTTTCGCATCTCAGTCCTTCGGATTAGCGGGGATAATGAAGGCACCTACTTCACTGGGGTATTGTGAGGATGAGATAGAATAATCTCTGAAATGTGTTTAGCACAGTTCCTGACCCAAGGAAGGTGCTCCGTGAATCAGAGCAATTGTTTTTAACTGTCAGCTCACCAGCCAACAAGATTTTCTGTAGTTTATGCTGAAAATACAACTTTTCATTTTCCAAATATAGAGTTACCCTACCACATTGAATATGCTCTCTCAGATAAGGAGATGCCCACATATAGCCCCCCTGGAGGGGGAATGTTTCCTGTCCCTCACTCAAAAATCACTACTACTCCCATAGCAATGAATGCTGAACCACAGAAGGACAGGGGAAAGGCCTACAGCAGAGCTCAACTAAGCTACCAGGCCTCCCAAGCAGAAAGCCCTGGCCCCTCTTAAGGCAACTGGGGGACCAGAACTTCCAGGAGAGAAGTCCAAGAGATCAAGAAAACCCCCCAAAATAAGTCTCCTTTAAAAAAAAAAAAAAATTAGCTCCCAATATTGTGGTCCAATGAAGGTAAGAGGAGTTGGCTCCCCCTGGTGTTTGAAATTTGCCATAACACAACGACCCACTGACTCTTAAGTCCTCTTTTCCTGGCCAAAGTCCCCGCGCTGGCCTAAAATGCTCCATTGTCCCGTAAAGAAAAGATCAGCCCTCCAATCCCGGGCTGAGCTCTGCCTGGAGCCCATTCTGACCTCTCACCTGCCACCACAGAGGAAGTCGTGACAAGGAAGTCCTCCAGCACCGTAGAGTTCTTCAGCTTGGTCACTCGAAGTTCTGACATCCCTCCCGGCGAGAGCGTCCCAGAGTTCGTGGAGAAACCTCATCCGGTCACCGCATCTGAGGGTGCGTTGCTCCCCGTGTCTCCTCCCCACGCCTCTAACTGCTTCACATTCTTCTCCCAGTGCCCCAACCCGCACCACCACCCCACTGACCCCCAGTTCACGAACATCAGCCGTGCCAGGCTGAGGGTCCCTCCCTGCCCAGGGCGGACGTGAGATCCCTGGCAGGAGGCAGGGTGCAGGCAGAAGGTCCGGCCTGGAGGCTAGGAGGTGAACGTGCGTCCTGTGCCCACTGCAGGGGATAAAGCCGTGTTCCGAGCCCGGGTGCGGGGGAACCCGAAACCCAACATCTCCTGGAAGAGAGAGAGCGGCATCCCCATCAAGGAGTCGGCCAAGATGTTCTACGACAGCGTTAACAAGGAGCATGTGCTGAAGGTGTGGGGACCCGAGCCAGAGATCCAGTTATGGATGAAGCCAGAGGCAGGGACCCCAGGGCATGCTGCAGCCCCCCTCGTGGACAAGAGAGCCACAACAGCAACCCAAGAACTGGGCCATGGGAAAAGAGGCTGTCATTGCCCTAGAGGAGGGGCAGGATAAGAGAAGCTGAATGAGGAGCTGAGGCCTTGCTAGAGTGAGCAGGGGACCAAACTCAGGGGCGAAGTGAAGCAGAACTAGGGCAAAGCCAAGGAGGGGCAGGCCCCACCGGAAGAGACCCAGCTGTTCCAGAGGAGAGAGAGCCAAAAGGGAAGAGAGACCAAATATGTGGGCGTGGCTAGAAGGGGCGGGGCCGTAGTGGGTGGAGTCAGGCTAAATAGGGGCAGATAGGAACAGAGGGAGGAACCAAGCCTAGTGTCCGGGTGAAGGTCAGGGTTCCTGGGCTCTTCAGGGAGCCTTCCAACAGACTCTCACCAAGGGCTGATCATCTTTAGATCTAACCAGCTTCTGCATCTTTTAGCTCTAGACCCTTGAGGAAAAGGAGGGATGGGTCGTGCGGAGACCTGTCCCAGTTGGTCCTGCCAGGACTTACCACTGTGAAGGGCAAAGAGCCTCCCCTCTCCCCCACAGACAGAACTCAGTTCCTTCTCCTCTCATGGTCCCATTACTGACCCTCAGCCCCACATAGCACACACAAGCTGCCCCAGGGTCCCCCTACGGGCCACCCCTTACACAAATTGATTCATTCAGCAAGCACCTTCTGAGGCCCCACTGGGCTGTCCATGCTGCAGGCACCAAGGCAGCCTAATTCACCAGTTTCCTTGGGCTCAGCCCAGTGCCTGGTACAGAGGAGTAAATATGTGTTAAAGGAAGGAATACCATCCCACTGATAGAAACTGCACATAGTTATAACTCAGAGGAAGTCCCTGTCTTCCAGCTCACAGCCAAGAAGAAGAATCCCATGCAGAATCAGGCTACAAACACACACACTCACACTGACTACTACCTGGAACCTCCAAATCATAGAGGCTGCTCAGCCCTCCACACATATGCCCAACGCTCAACTCCTCTCCCTTCTCACAGAGAGTCTCCCTGGGGTCCCCCCCCCCTCACTAATGGCCTGTCTCTGATACAGCTGGAGCCACTGACCTCCGATGACTCTGACAACTACAAGTGCATCGCAAGCAATGACCATGCAGATGCCATCTACACCGTGTCCTTGCTGGTGACAGAATGTGAGTCAGCACCCTCCTCCTGGCCTTTCCTCTTAGGGACCAGACTCCCCCTGTCTGACCCTGTCCATCTCTCTGGTCCTCAGGTCAAGAGAAAATGGATTTCAAAAAGATGTTGAAGAAGAGGTGAGGCTGGGAGGCCCCTCTGCCTGGGGTGCTGTCCCTCCACCCTCCAGGCTAGGGCTTCTTGAAGGCCTTTCAGCAGGGCCCTGAGTTAATGACCCTGGCTCCTAGAACCCATGAAGTAGGGAGGGGAATCTCAAGGTTGGGAGAGGCTCCCTCTGTCTTCAGAGGGAGGTGCTGAGTCCAAGCTTGGTACCCACCTCCTCGCAGGGCACCCCCTGCTCCCAAGAAGAAGCAGAAGGGGATAGGTGAGAAAGAGATGTTGGAGATTCTGTCCAAGGTGCCCAAGAAGGACTTTGAGAAGGTCTGCATGGAGTATGGTTTCACTGACTTCCGGGGGCTGCTCAAGAAGCTCAAAGAGATGAAGAAAGTGGAGGTGGAGGTCAGTGCCCATAGTGGGGCAGGGGTCTGCAGGTAGGGGTCTGGGTCTCTCCAGAAGTTCTAGTGCCTGTGTGTCCCCCAGTGGCAAGGCCTCTCCAGCCTGCACACACATGCTCAAGGGTGAGAGCAGGAAAGGAACTTGCCTTCCTTTTACTTCTTCTCTCTCCTCTACCCCCTAATGTGCTTGCATGGACTTTGGAGTCAGACCGCCCTGGGTTCAAATCCCAGTTCTACTGCCTTATTAACTATGTGAACATGGGCATCCCTCTGAACCTCAATTTCTCATTTGCAAAATGAAAATTCTGCTTTCCTCTTTCATTTGTTTTTGCGTTGTCATCATTCATTCACTCAACCAACTCTCAATTATTAAGCATCTACAGTGGAATTAGAAGACTTATGTAATGGGCCCAGGTACATAGTGACTGTTCTGCAAATGGTGGTTCATTTCTCATCGTCTCCCCCTAAGTGCTAGAGGCTTTCAGTGGCAGGAAGTGGGGGGGGGGGAATCATGGCTATCCAATCAGCCTAGTCATTTCTGCCCAGACCTTTAGGGGGTTCCTCCAGCATTGGGTTAACACACTGGTCAGGCTCCAGATGTCCCTGATGCCTGCCATTTTATTATCACAATCTCACAGACCATCCGGATTCTGAAGCCCCTGGAAGACATAGAGACCAAGATTGACACCACTGTGGTCTTTGACTGCATCATGGAGCTGAAGGACCCCAATGTCAAGATGATATGGATGAAGGTGGCCGGGGCGGGGCGGGGCACCTAAGCAGGGCCTGCCTTGGCAATATCATTTCCTCTCTGTACCCCCTCCCTTCACAGACCCCCCTCATTATCCACCAACCAGGTCCTCTCTTCCATCCCAGCAAGAGGATGCCTCCTGGTATGACTGAAACTGACTGGGAGCTGGGCTCTAGTCTTAGCTATTCCATCACTTTGCTTTTTGATTTGAGACAGTTACCTTCCTCTCTCTATGCCTCAGTCTAGCCATCTGAAAAGGCTGGGTTAGGTAGTCCTGAAGGTCACATTAAGAGCTCAGGTCTCACAGGAAGCAGGGATCCTGGGTCCCACTGAGCCAAAAGATAAGGCTAAAGAGATCTTAGGGATCTCTGGTGTGTCTGAGGATCTTAGAGAGGTAGACATGGCACCCTCCAGCTTAGGCTGGCCTTGGGGAATGAGGACCTCTGGAATTCTCCTCTTAAAGTCCTTCATCAGCTTTTCTACCTTTTTCATGAGGCAGGGTAATGAACCACTGAGGATCCAGTACTCCCTAGGCAAGTATGATGTGAAGCAGATGGGCACCAAGTACATGCTGGTTATTACCAACGTGAACATGAACGATGCAGACACCTACAGCCTGTCCGTGGGTGACAAGCGGATGAGAGCAGAACTCACAGTGCTGGGTATGAATGTGTGGGCATCTGGGGGACAAAGAGGACAGTCAGGGTCAAGGGAGGAATAGCCAGGGATGGGGTCCATGGGGATATGGGAGAGAGGACTGTGGGGCTGTGCAGTTGAGGACTGTATGGGGATGGACATTAATGGAGGAGGGAAACATGGGGAGAGGACTATGAGATAGTAAGTGCCATGGGGCAGTGTGGCATTGTGGTTAAGTGCACAGTCTCCAGAGTGAGACTAGTGGGGCTCGAATCCTAGCTTCACTATGAGCTTGTGAGCTTGTGATTTGGGACAAGTTATTTAACTTCTATTTGCCTCAGTTTCCCCATCTGTAAAATGGGGAATAATAGTAAAATCTACCTATATGGGAATTGGATGCATTAATATGTGTAAATTGGCTAGAAGAGTGCCTGGCACTTATCGAAAACTACATAAGTGCTTTGTAAAATTGCTGTGTTAACATAACTGGGGAGGAGACCATATGAACATCATGGGAAGGGGTCACAAGCAGAATGAAAGGAAGGATGCTTTCCCCAATTGTGGGCTACAGGAGGCCAGTGACCCCTGAATCTCCATGCCCCCTTCATCACCCCACCCCTCAGGAGAGACCAGGGCTGCAGCCCAGTGACTGCCCCTCCTACTCTTCCACAGATGAGCCCCTAAAGTTCTTGGGAGAGATGAAGCCAATGAAAGTGACAGAGCGCCAGACAGCTGTATTCGAGATCCGCCTCTCCAAGAAAATGCCTAACTTTGTGTGGAAGTTCAACGGGAAGGAGCTGAAGAGGGACGAAAAGTATGAAATCACAGTGTCCGAGGATGGTCTGACCCACACACTTAAGATTAAGGACGCCAGACTCTGTGATGCGGGCGAGTTCTCTGCTGAGGTGGGGGACCTGGTACAGAAGGCCCAGCTCACAATTGACCGTGAGTGGTTGGGCCAGAGCTTGAGGGGTGGGCCTCATGCCAAAGCCACCTCCAGGTGGGCAGTCATCCATCCATCCACCCAACCATCCATCCATCCATCTCTCTTTGCAAAGCCCTGCGATGGGTACTAGAAAGACAGAGGGTTCTCTTCACTAACTCCTAGTATAGTCGGGGAGGCAGGTGTGAATTAGAACATAAGTTCTCAAGCAAGGAGTCAAGACATGCTAGGGTCTTATTATCAGCTGGGAGATAATGGGTCAAGAGATTATTAGCCCTTCTGTCTCTAATCTCATATATTCTAGCATATCCCTCTTAACCACTTGCGTTCTTATATGAGAGCAAGTTTGGAGAGTTACACATGATGGTGGGTACACCCAGAAGCATGACACACGTGTGAACCGCACTTGACACATGTGACATGGAATCATCATGGCTGTGACAGAGAGAGGCACAGAGGATGTGGGAACCCAAAGAAGGGGCACCACTAGGTGATGTCAGAAAGGATGTGATGAGGTGATGGCCAAGCTGCTTCTCTCCCAGAGGAACAAAAAAGGAGTTCAGCTTTCAGCAAATGGGGAAGAAGAGAGGAAATTCTCAGCAGAGAGAACAGCATGTATCAAGGCCCAGACACCAGAAAGACAGTGCAATTATGGCTGGAGTTCCAAAGGGGCATTAGAGATATTGACTGCCATGCTGTGAGGAGGTAAAAGTTGTTATCCCATTTTACATATGAGGAAACTGAGGCTCAGGGAGTGAATGCATTCAAGAGAGAGTCAGCTAGGAAATAAGGGATAGAGCTGGGACTCTCCCTGCCACTTACCTCTATGGGTCACATGTTGCACACAAACACATTCCATGTCACAGGTCCCTGTGTTTCTGGGACCAAAAAGAGGAGCAAGGCGGCAGGTAGCTGCAGAAAAGGGATGTCGGGGTTGGGTGCAGATCCAGATCTATCTGTCCACAGGCATCCCCATCAAGTTTGTGAGAGCCCTAAAGAACGTACGTGTGAAAGAGAGGAGCCGTGCATGCCTTGAGTGTGAGCTGACGTCCAAGGATGTGACACTGCACTGGAAGAAGGACGGGCATCCTCTGGAGCGCAGCAGCAAGTACAGCATGAGCCATGAGGGCAAGCGAGCAGAGCTGGTCATTGAGGATGCACTGCTCGGTGACAGTGGCGAGTACACGGTGGTGGCCATGCAGGATGGAGACCCCACTGAATACTACAGCACTGCCATGGTCACCGTGGAGGGTATACACCCACCCTGTCAGTCCCCACTGACCAATCCCCCCCAGTCCTGACAGCTCCCTACCATGGACACTGATCAGCCCCCTACTGACTCCAACCCTCCTCAGACCATGATCAGTTTCTACTTCCCCACTCTGACCACCCCCATCTCCCAAATTCTGACCATCTTCGACCTCCCAGGCCCTGAACATCTCTACCTCCTAGACCCTGATCATACCCCATCTCTCGAACTCTATCTGAAATCCCTTGACTTTATCCATCCTTCACTTTCAGACTCTGACCATCCCTAGCAGGCCTGATCATTCTATACTCCTTGACCCTGCCCAGCCCCTACTCACTAACCTTGACCATTCCCCACTGTCCCTGACCACCCTCAACTCCTAAAAACAGTCTAGCATATCTAGCTCCGCTAACCACCTGCATCCACACCATCTACTCCCCTTCTCCAGCTGAGCATCCCAAGTCCCCACTGACCATCCTCCGATGATAAGCCCCCCATTGGCCATTTCCCAGTGCAACTAACTTTTCCCCAACCTCCCACCTACTTGCTCCATTCTCCAATCACCCATTGACCATTTCCAAACTTCCTGCTAATCGTAAATTATTTTGATAGACATGGCACCCCTGCTCCTTCCCTTGGCCATGGCCACCAGCAATCTTCCCATGAGTCCTTTCTGCCCCCAGCACCCTAACCTAGCCCCTGCTCCCTTTCTCCCCAGAGCGTCTGGCCACAGTGAAGAGCGGGCTGTCTGACGTGCACGCGGCTACTGGGAGCCTGGCTGAGCTGTGCGTCGTGCTGAACGACGAGAAGGTGGAGGGCGTGTGGCTGAAGGATGGCAAGGAGGTCTGAGGCAAGGGATAGAGAAGGGGTCCAAGGAGGGAAGGGGTCGACTGGGCATACATTCACACGCCCGCCCCTCGCCCTCGCCCCCCGCCCACCTCCCAGATCACGGACTTGCCCGGCGTGCAGATCGTGAAGCAGGGTGCAGTGCACAAGCTCATCTTCCCCAATATGGGCCCGGGGCACGAGGGCAAGTACACATTCTGGGCCAAGGGTGCAGAGAGCGAAGCCTCGGTATTCATTGCAGGTAAGGTCACCACCCCCTAGAGGCAACTCTCAACCAGGCCTGGCCTGCCCACGTGCTCAGAGCTCTTCCCCCACCCGCATGGGGTCCTCCTCCACCCCCTGTCGCCCCGGCCCCCATTCCTGCTGGGCGACCCTGCCCTGCCGCCCCACAGATCCTCCTACCATCGACCCGTCCGTGCTGGAGGCACTGGGGGCGCACCCCGTGACTGTGAAGGTGGGCCACACTGCGAACATCAAGGTTCCCTTCCGGGCTAAACCGCTGCCCAAAGTGACATGGTACAAGGACGGCGTGGAGGTGACGGAGGAGGACCGTGTGTCCATGGAGCGCGGGGAGGACCAGGCGCTGCTCACCATTTCCAACTGCGTGCGTGAGGACAGTGGCGTTATTCTGCTCAAGCTCAAGAATGACCACGGCACAGCTACAGCCAGTCTGCACCTCAGTGTGCTGGGTGAGGGCAGGACCCTGCTGGGCTGGGCTGAGCGTACCTGCTGCTCAGCGCTGAGCGTGGGCGTAGCGCTGGAGCTGGGGCTTGAGAAAGGGATCGCAGCCAGAAGCCCACTTCCTAACTTCCTAATTCTGTGGCCTTGGGCAAGTCAATGAACCATCTGAAGCCTCAGTTTCTTACCTGCAACAGGATGACTTGGTCTTTTGTTAGTTTGCTTTTTGTATCTCTTTCAAGTGAATCTAAGGCACATAGCGGAGTGCACGACCACATAATAGACCTTCCAAGGTTGTGTTGTCACTGACTTGAAGATGAGGACATGGTTGGAAGGTAGAAATGAAGTGAAAGAGGTGGGATTTAGGGATAGAAGTGAGGTTGGTGGGGAAGTTTTGGGGGTTGAAATGAAATGAAGTCAGGGGAGGTGAGATACGGTTGAGGATAAAATGAGGTTGGAAAAATGGGAGTGGGTAGGAATGGGATTTGGGATGAGTCTAAACATAAGGCTAAGGAAAGAGATGAGCTGGCCTTAGTGAGCTCATAGTCAACACACACACACACACACACACACACACACACACACACACACCCCACGCCATCAAGCTATGGAGTGAGAAGGTTTGGGTTTCAATTCAATTCAGCAGCATGACTGAGCTCTTCTGTGTTCTCAGTGCTGAGGACAGAGATGGAAGTATCCCAGCAGTCTCTCAACCCAAAAGGGATGAAAACTAGCAGACATGTAATTATAACATAAGATAAACTATTAATACCAGAAAGCACTGGAGTTCTGGAAGCTGAGAGGAGGGGCAGATCTTGTCTGGAAGGAGACCCTCAGGTCCCCAGTCCCCCCATTGCTAGGCAAGTGAGAGTCTCAGGGGGCCAAGGATCCAACTCTTTGGACAAGTCTTACAAGGAGGGGCAGTGAACACAGACAAGGGCGAGGCATCCACAAAGCTCAGACTCTAACTATCCCCCAGTCTGGCTGGACCTCCAGCAGGTGGGATAAAGCCTTTCTCATCCCTGGCTCCCATTCTGACGCTCTCTTCTGTCCTCAGACCGTCCCAAGCCTCCCCAGGGCCGGGTGGAGTTCCTGGAACTCTCGGGGAACTGTGTGCACATGAAGTGGAAGGCTCCCAAGGACAATGGCGGGCGGCCAGTGACACAGTTCATAGTGGAACGGAGGATGGTCGGCAAGAAGGCCTGGATTAAGATAGGCGAGGTGGACAGCAAATTCACGAAATTCTCCACCAACAAGGTAGAAGAGGGGAAAGCCTACCAGTTTCGTATCCTGGCGGTTAATTCAGAAGGAGTGAGCGACCCGCTGGAAACAGATGAAGTGTTTGCAGGAAATCCCATTGGTCAGTGAGATAGCCCCATGCTCAGTGGGAAACTCAGGGGTCAGACAGTGAGGAATGCTAGTCTGTGGGGGAATTCCCTGGGGTCACCTCTGTAGCTATCCTATGAGACAGACAGAATCCAGAGTAGGAGCCGAACATCATCTTGGGTGGGAATTCTCGACTTTTCCCAGTCAGATCTCATGCACAACACACTCCCGTGTGTATATCCAGAAGTGCATTCAATTCCAGGGAAATGATTCCACTTGTTTCTCCATTCCAGGAATCATCCCAAATCCCAGTGGGAGTGATGTTACTTTAGAGATAACCTTGAATCTGTTCTAACCTTCCCCCAAAGAAAACCCTTGACAACATTGGCATTTTAATTATGAATGCTAATTAACTGCTTGCTGCACTCCTCCCAGTTGGTCTCCATGTCTCCCTGTGTCCAGAACATTAAGAACTGTGGCACTGAGAATGACACAGGTTGGTAGATTCGAGTTGGTGATTCTCAGTCTTGGCCATACAGTAGAATCACCTGAGGTCTTGGAAAACGTGCTGATGACTGGCCGCCACCCGAGGCCAATTAAATTAAACTATCTGGAGGTAAAACCCAGACAGTGTCTTTTGGTGAGGGTATTTTTTTTAACTCTGCACTTGATCTTAATGTGCAACCACAGTTAAGAATCATCAGGGTTTTCTTAAAGGAGGGAGCCAGAGATCAGCATAGGGTGGGCAACCATCTACATGCTCCCCCCGCCAACCTCTGCCCTCTGTCTCCCACAGAGCCCCCTGGTCTTGCCTCCCAGCCTCAAGTGACTGACGTGACCAAAGAGGCCATGACCATCACATGGAATGCCCCTACCCAGGATGGGGGAGCCCCAGTGCTTGGTTACATTGTGGAGCGGAGGAAGAAAGGCAGTAACCTATGGGTGCCAGTCAACAAGGACCCCATCCAAGGTGAGGTCCTAGGGAGAGAGGCCCAGGAGGACCAAGGGAGGTTTTGCTGGGTGGACCTAAGCACCCCTGCTGCCCTGAACATATTCTGTTCCCCAACTCCTTTGGGGGTTTTAATAGCATCCCATAACCCCCCCTTCCATGTCCTCTCACTCTATGGTCTCCCATCTCATGGACCCCCTGCCTCATGACCCCTCAAATTCCCATTTCAGACACCAAATGCACTGTGGATGGTCTCCTGGAGGACACAGAATATGAATTCCGAGTTATAGCTGTGAATAAGGCAGGCCCTGGACAGCCCAGTATGGCATCCAGTTCAGTGGTAGCCAAGGACCCTGTCAGTGAGTAGGGGGCTGCTAAGCCCCAACACATAGTAGAATTAGCCCACTCAAGGTAGACAGTGGATTTCTTCTCTGGGAAGGTCTAACAGGGTGACCCTACCACACAGTCTCCACTTTCTGGGGTCTGCCAGCCTAAGAGAGGGACAGGATTCACACCCAAAAGAAAGCCAGCAAATAAAGATTGAGAGTCAGGGACAGCGAGGAGGCAGGGTGGGAAAAAAAAGTTATCAAACTCTGAGTATTTCTGGTTAGGTAAGGTGTTGGATGCATATTTGAGGATTGGGTAGGGCTGCAGGGTAGATGGTTGGGAGGGTCCTGATTTAGGAGGTGAGGTGGGGGTACTGCACATGAATGGATGTGGTAGAGACAGTTGGACTAAAGGCTGGAGTTTAGAATATAGGGGGATTGAGGGTGTAGGGTACGTTGAATTTGGAGGGTATTGACTTCAAGGGTGAAAGGGTTGATCCAGGGAGAGAATTGAATTTGGAGGTTGTTGAGTGTGCAGGGTTGGTGTGGAAAGTGTTAACTAGGAGTTGGAGGCAGAGGTGGTGGAAGTTAGGTTTCAGGGGTAATGAATGTGGGAACTGGGTACGGGATTGAGTGCAGAGGAGTCGGAAGGCTGACTGGATGTCTGTGCCACCCAGAACCCCCAGGCCTGGTGCAGGGTCTGCACGTGTCTGATTCCTCCAACTCCAGCATCTCCCTGGCCTGGCAGGAGCCTGCAGAGGGAGACCCACCCTCCAGTTACATCCTTGAGATGCGGGCTGAAGACACTAAGGAGTGGTCCAAGTGCACAAAGATCCCCATCTCGGGCACCTGCTACGTGGTGGGAGGCCTCACCGAGAGGCAGAAATACTTCTTCCGAATCCGAGCTGTGAACGAGGCTGGAGTTGGGGAGCCTGTGGAGCTGGATGAGGGGGCCCGTGCCATGCCACCACCAGGTGAGGATGCAGAGAGAGCTGGGGTTTAGGCCCTAACATCCTGGCCCCATACTTTCCTCTCTGGGACCTCATCCCACAGGGAAAAACTGGGTGATGCTATGATTAAGAAGTCATCCAGGGCGCCTGGGTGGCTCAGTTGGTTGGGCGACTGCCTTCGGCTCAGGTCATGATCCTGGAGTCCCTGGATCAAGTCCCGCATCGGGCTCCCTGCTCGG